GATCCAGGACAGCGATGTCGGAACTCAAGAGTTCAATATAGCTGTAGAACGGTGAAAAATTTTGAACTTAAACAGAAATGCAGTACAACTTTTATTTACTAGCTATAAAATCACATTTATTACAAGACAAGGAACTTTAGGAAGTTTATTATAAAAATCTAACAAAATATAATTTAACAAATAGTTTTAAATATTTACGAAGAACTCATAATTTATGTAAAGTGGTCATAAGATAAAGTTCTTAAATGGTAATCATGATTTTTCTTAAGTAATAAAATTGGTTCAAAATGCCTTCTAAAAATATATTTTCTGTGCATGTAAATAGTCTTTCATTATTTTATAATTAGGTACTTTTAATTTCATGGGATTCAAGCTTATAAAATCCCCTGGCCTTACTAACCATTTAATCCCTAATAATTTTAATTTAAATGTATGAATTGATAATAGGTTATTATTTGGCAAATGAGTTGAAAAAACCCACTGGTCATCTATACCTGGTATTAACTTAAAATCCAAGGATAAACGAAACGTAGTAATGTTTTAAATCATAGTCCTAATAAGAACTTTGGAATATATTAAATTCTCTAGATCTGGCTGCAAACCAGCCGAGTTGGCCACGCTGTTCAAGGAGAGCCGCGCAGGGAGTCGCTGAGATATCCATCAACGTGTGGCGTGTTTGGCTCCTGTAAGTTGTTAACTCGACTTTTATTGCCGCACAGTCGGCCGCTGGACCACCGAAGGGTCATTGGCTCATTGGCTCCGACTTGGCATCGATTCACCGATCCATCGATCGCCTCGTTTGCGAAAGATCTCTTTCGAATTCGGCCGGTTCACACCCATGGTCAGTTCATTTCATTTCCGCCCCTGCGGCCCCAATCAATGGCCATTGGCCACAATAAAGGTTAATTATGTAAATGTCACACAGTTGCTACTGTCTACTGTCCGCTTCCATTTCCATTTCCCACTCCAAATCGATTCCCAGTCCCAAATCCATTTCCATTCCCACTGCGTGCTGTGTATTCCTATTCCGATTCCGAAACGCGCTCAAAACTCACAATTTAATGGTCTCGAAACGTTTCAATTTTTATTAGTTCACATTGGGTCCTAACCTGTTGTCGGGAGCGTTCTAAATGAGAACATAACTGCTTCTGTTGCCACCGCCAATTAACCCCTTCCTCCTCGGACGCCCCTGCCCTGCCGCCTTTTTACGGTTTAATTGTGCCCACGGCCAGAGACAAAACAGAGAAATCAATCTCGAAATGCGTTGACAAGTGAGGCCAAGAGCAGCGGCTGTGGCATCCCAATCCCAAGATTCAGGTCCCGACAGAAGAGCAGCCAGAGATTGCGCGGAGTCACCCCGGAGACCCCGAGGTGCATTTAAGTGCACCTTTAGGAAATTAACCATAAAAAATTGCTTCATTTAACAAGGCAGTGCGGCACTAAAAACCAACCCAGACAATGTCCAAACGCAGGGTGGGAGAAGCCAAATGCCAAAGGCAGCCAGAGAAAACCAGAGTGACGTTGGGTCACATCTCCCTGTTTTTTTCTTCTCCTTTTTCGGGGGGCCAGAGGTTCTGGCCTAGAAAGCGGAAGCTCTGGACCCGCTATTTTCAGCCTCTGAGGGGAAGGAAGTCAGGTTACAACGGAAGATGGGGGTTAATAAAACACGGGAACCGTTTCAACACAGCTTTTCTACAGGTTCATTAGAAAATAACACACTTGAGTTGGATACAAGAAAATTATTATGATACAGATCTTAAATGATTAAAAGACTGTAAATATATTTTTATTTATTATTATTATTATTTAAAAATTATGATCTCATGATCTATATCTGATCTGATACTGATAAATAGTATTAAATTAAAGGGTCAACAGTCGTTTAATTTCGGCATTGAAATTATGAGAAGAAATAATAAATTTAATTCAATTTTAATGAGCATTTTAATGACCCCAAAAATGTATTTGTATTATTATTGATTTTATTTAAATTAATAGTATTTTATAATTCAACAAAATGTTAAATAAAACGCTTAAATCCAAGTATTAACTCTGGCAGCAAGTAAAGTACCATGTCTTTGCTCTCCCTCTCCATCATCGTAATCCAGAGAGTTTATCCGTAATTGAATGCCATTAATTGCGGTGCATGCTGCTGTCAAGCCATCAAAATAACCATTACCATCCTGATCGGCTGGGCAAATCCGCCTGGCGATTGGCGATTCCTGATTCCCGATTCCATTCCCAGCCCGATGTCGACGCAATGTCAAACATTTGGATCTGCTAATCGCGTAAAACATAACACCATTACCGCCATAAAATAAATTTTCTGCCATAATATCTGTCGCGCAGAAGGGCCTCGGATGGGCAAACGTCCACGACGACATCTTGTGTCCCATTCCGCATCTCTGCATCGCCGAGGCCAATTTCCAATGCCCCAACTGGATTTTGATTTATGCCGAAATCGCCGAAGCCATCGAGCAAAAACCAAAAACACAAATCAAACGCAAACAGCGCGACGAAACATTGCAACAATCCATGCCAGCTCTGCTCCGGCTTCTTGTCGAGCTCCTCCAGCTTCTCCATCCCACTCCGGCCCACAAATACTGGCTAACAAGAGGAGCAACAGCAAGCTGGCCGGCAAAAAAGGCCAAAAGCGAGCGCGAAATCCAAACGCGAGCGGCGCGCGCGTTTTTTGCCGCGCCAAATGTGCCCAGCAAAAACGCGTCTCTCTGCTCGATCAGCCTCATTGATATTTCGAGCGCGAGCGTATAAAAATATTCTGTCCCGAGATCCCGATGCCGATCCCGATTCCAATACCGACTCTGATTCTGATTCCAATCCTGGCCTGGCCTAAAAGTGTCGCCCGAGCGGGATCGTCGCTGCGATCAGCGATCAGCAGAAATCATCGTCATCATCATCATCGATCCGGCGATCTCGAGCCCTTCGTCGTTGGGTTGACTGCACTGAGAAAAAATATATATGTATACAGTTGATCATCCATAACTAAAGCCATTATCTGCCACCAAAAAAGTTCGAATTTCGAAGCATTTGAGTTATACTCTCTTATATCAATAAAAGAGTAGCTCGACTTAAAGAGACTTCGAGGTAGAGAAGTTCGGGTATTAAAAAATCTATAAAATTATTTTTAAATCTTTTAAAAAGAGTAAATCTATAAGTTAGAAAAATAAGAAATGTTTTCGAGTTATAACGAAACTAACTTTTTAACGCCAATAATTTTAAATGATTTTTGAAAAACTTTTCTTATAATATAAACTCCATTGGATGTTTTCCAAAAACAAATAAGAGAAAATATGTGTGTGCTCCTAAAATTTCAGAACCTTTTTTCAATTAATATTGTAACTATCATAGATTCGAAAGGGAAATTAAGGGAACAACGAAGTAATTTTTGTTCTACCTGAAATTTTTTTTTTAATAACAAGAATATTATTTTCTGCCTGTGTAGCGTTTTTGCGTGATGCTCTCGGTGGCTGTCAGTCATAGTCATGCCAGGGCATTCCAATCTGGCCATGATCAGGAGGCTTCTTGTGCCGATTCCGATTTCGATTCCGATTCCTTGGCACATTCAGCTGGCTGTGCATTCCTCGCCGTCAGTTTCCTTGCGCGCATCCTCAACGCCTTTTAGCATTGTTTATGAAGTGGAGTGTGGAGTGGTAAGGAGTGGTAAGAATCGGTATTGGCCATTGGCCAGGATGCGAGATATGGGGGCATGCACGTGATACAATTATGGCAGCGCTCGCTTTTTTTCGCATATTTTTTGCCCGCTTTGCATAATTTAACTGCGCGCAATTGTCGCGGCAATTATTTTTAGCCACTGATTTATTGTTGGCATATTCAGAGTAGTGGTCTTGGGAAAGTTTCTCGCAACTTCACACCTTTGCCCAGAATGGCCATATCGCTGCTGAATACGATGCCTTGCTCCCCCGGGCACCTGCTTACGAATTCCACTCACATTGCCTGCCAATGCCGCCACACCATGCCGATTCCGATTCCAGTGCCATTTTCGCACTTCCACTGGCAACTTGCCACTGCAACTGCGAGTTGGCAACCATTGTCGCCTCTTTCTGGGTCCGGGGGAACCAGAGATCTGCAATCTGCGCTCCGCAATCCACAATCCACGACGACTGCCTCCGCGGGCGATCGATAGTTATGGTCGTGTCAGACATCCTGTAATTTCGCCATTCCCATCCCCATTGGCTCCCTCCTCCTCCTTGGCACTCCGATCGTGTTGGCAACTTGTTGACACTTCATTGGCGCGCAAGTTAATTAAGAAGGAGAAGCCGCAGATACCGCCGACCACCGGCGCACCGGTGCAAAACACTTCATTTATCATCATTTAAATAGGTGTCGAGGTACAAATTACATGAATTTCGAAGCAGAACATTTTTACTCAATTTAATTTATCATCTTTCGATTTTTTATATAAATATGTATATCTTACTGATGGGTAAAAACTAAAGACTTTTAATGTTCTTGGAAAAACTTAAGATTTTACTGCTCAATAAATAAGTCTTTAAGAACTTTTAAGTGAATAGATTTATAAGGCAGTAAATTGAATATTAACCTTAAATTTTATCTAATTTTCTATAGTTTTTTAAAGTAAATTACCATCCACTATCCATAAAAACACTCAATTTACTCAGCACAAATACTCGTTTTATTTTATTTAAATATTTTATTATATTATCACCCCTGGTGACCATTATTCAAACCAATTATTTGTAGTAAAACATAAATTAATACAATTTCACGGTTACTTTAATCCAGCAATTTGTTCATTTGAAAACATCATTATTAGAGATCCAGTTTTGAAGAGAAGAAAGTGGGTAGAACGTTTAACACTAGAAATTCCATTAATTCGTATTCCACATTTGATTGAAATTATTACTGGCTACAAGGGGCGTTTAAGATAAAACTAGGTTGCTATATATACACAGATCAGATCAGAAACTGGGTCACGTGGGATGGGGACTCTTGTGGATTCAGTTGACCACCTCCACGCTGCAGTCCTCCTCCTCCTCCTCCCGCTCCTCCTCTCCCTCGGCGGGATCCTCGTCCTCAGGGACTTCCAGGGCAGGAGGAACCGGACTATCCTGGCTGCTCTCACAGGAACTCGACTCCAGGCACTCCAATCGATTGCTATCGAGTCGCAATCGCTTCTCCGGCTTCTTGAGCAGCTCCTCGATGGAGTAGGGATTCCGTTTGCGACTGTGACTGAGCGTCGAGCCCGGAGAAGAAGCCTCTGGAGCGGATCCACCTCCATTTCCTCCTCCCGAAGCGGTTAGTGAGAGGGCCGCTGGCGAGGATTTGCCCGAATCGCAATCGCTGAGTGCATCCCCGGCGGCACCGGGGGTAGAGAGATCGATGGAGCTCTCCGACTTGGTGAAGCCACCCATAACCGATGTTGAGGAGGCGGCCGCCGCTGCCATGGCGTGGGGCAAATAGCCGCCGGCATAGGGCAGGAATTGGCCACCCGAGGCAGCCGCCTGGGCCTGAATGTGCGCCTGGGTGTAGTAGAGCAGGGAGGGATTCCACAGCCAGTGCTTGTGCAGGGCCGAGTAACTCAGATCCAGGCCAGAAACACTGGGATTCAGGCCGTGATTGGGATTGTGATTGTGGCCATGTGGTCCCATGGTGGGCGGCATTTTGGGAGCGGGTTTGAGCGGCATCTCGCCGGCGGCAGGCATCATCAACGATGGTGGTTTTGCATACCGCGCCACGGAGGGCGTGGCTGCCGAAGTGGGCGGGGCCACTGGGGTAACCGACGGGGGAGGAGCTTGGGGGCCGCCATATCCATTCGATGGACCGCTGCCCGCTTGATGAGCTGCTGCCGCCGCCGCCGCCGCAGCTGCCGCATTCTGCTGACTGGAGGTCATCTCATCCGTCCACAAACCGCTATTCCGAAGAATCCGGTTGATGGAGCTTATCGAGGGCACCGAACTGGGATCGCAGACCCTCTGCTGCTGGAGTTGCTCCCGAATCTCCCACGCGAACATCCCGCTGTTCTCCTCCTTCAAGCGGATGATCTTCTTCACCACGGTGGGCGTGGCTACTTGCTGGAAGAAAAGAAAGAGAAATACGATTAAAAAAAATTCAGGGATTAATAAAACTTATGGGCTCTCAAATGTATACAAAGATATTACATTAATATATAAACCGTTATAAAACCTTGGAAATCCTAAAACTCATTCAAAAATTAATAATTATCCAATGGATCTCTGCAAAACATACTAAAGTATATTAGTATTCCAAAGTATCTCATGTGTATCTCAAATATTTATAATTCATACGATTAATAAACCATTTTCCCTGCTCCCTGAAAAAAGTTTTAACATAAAAATTAAAAGTATTTTGCGCGACAAGGAATTCTTGAAGAAAATAACCCCCATAACCCATGCTTTAACCCCTTTATTCTCAGGTGTCTCTACGATTAATTGCCGTGAAATTCAATTGTGCATTAAACTAAACCAAAGTGCACTTGCAACAATTGCAAAAGCTGACAGCGAACACGGCCACGCCCCTTTTAGGCTGTCATGTTCGCGGGGAGATTTGCATCGGACCCACATCGGTGTTGTACATTCTGCTTTTTGCATATGTTAATTTGTACGAGTATTTCAAAGGACCTTCCTGCTTTTCCACTGGCGCCCGCTTTTCACGTGTGACGCGGCAATTCATTAAAAATTCATAAATACGCTTAAGGGGGCTTTTATCGAATGGGGGGGAATGGGAAATGGGGAGGGGGGTTCGGATTTCGAGGGGCCAAAAGACCCTCCGGCGCAGCAAGCTTGCATGCCAGATCTTATCGGAAATCTACACGCGCGCTCACTTTTTGTAACCACTGTCCTTGCGCCCGCCCCGCCCCCTTTTCCTAAATATATATGCCAAAGGGGCAAAAGGGAATATCGGGTGACGGGGGCAACTTCTTTATTGACCCACCGTAGGTGTTAAATGCGCGTTTTGTTCAGCCAGCGAGTGCAGAGCGCTTATTGAATCACCATGTAAGCGGGTGGGTAACCGATGTGGTAGGGGGTTACATTGGCACCGGGTACATTGTGCACTTGGTGGGCGGTGCAACTACCGTTAATTAGGCGTTCTGTTCCGTCGGCAAACATCGCACCTGAACAACTGTTTGCCCAGTCGGAAGGGGAACCGAAATGGGGAGGATTGTTCCAGGAATAGAAATATGTGGGAACAATATAATCGGTATTTCAATCCGATCTTTTGGGATATACTATTCTAGACTAACTTTTATCAATTTTATTAAGCTGTTTTGGTGTTAAATGTCTCACTTTGACAATAATATGCACCATTCTTTTAAATTTGAATGTTTTTTAATCATTGTTATGAATGATCTCACATGTTTAGACATTTTGGATCTTTAACCCCCTCGGTTGGTAAAAAATATTCAGATATCATGGCTGCGTAAAGTAGCAAATATTTTTACAATACCCTTCTGGAAAGCGTTAACTACGGTGCGTATGGGTCGTGATTCGGTGTTATCGCGTGGCTGATTCCATAACCCAGTGCAATCACCACTATCAACGGGCCATTGTCGTCACTTTTTGGGGCCGTGAAGCGAGCAGCGGCTTAAACGGTAGCAGCCACACTTGATTGGGCGTGCGAACCGAACAGGTGTGTCCTCAGCCATCCAGGTAGCCCACTTATTCCACCCAGTTATCATCCTCGAACAGGCGAGATTGATTTGCTGCGCTCTCTCCACTCGAATACCCACTCCTCCGTCTCCTCCTTCTCCCCCTAACTTTGCCCTCCGCCCACCTGCCACTCCCACGCGGCCATAAAAGCTGTCATCGAAATAAGAGAACATGTAAACTAGCTGCTGGTTACAATGCTTATCGGGGCTATCTGTTTCCGTGTATCTGTGATACTTTATGGATTTACTGCTGTGCGTTTGATTTTTATATAATCGTTTGTTGATTTCATGCACCACAGCAGACCACATGTGGTTTCCCGTCCCCCCAGATCTTGTGGCCCATCCCCATTCGAAATGCCGTTGCCACTTGGAACTTACCTTGGTCTTGCTCCCGCCAATGGAACCTGGTCGAATGGAGCCCGTCTCATAGAAGCGCGTCAATATTTTGGAAACGCAACCTATTCGGGGAGATGCAAAGAATAGAATTCGTTAGCTTGGGGTTAAAATCATAGTTTTAGGTAAACTCACCATGAGAAACCAGAAGCTGGCGGGATATATCACAGGGCCTCACTCCACACAGGGCCAAATCCACGATCCTTCGACGCACGCAGTCCGGCAAAGGACGGCCATTCACAAAGACTCCTCCTAGTTGGTTGACACCGGCTTGACCTGAAAGGATCAGTGGAAAAAGGATATTCCTATAGATTTCACATCAAATATTAATATCAGTAAGTTTGGTCAGGGAAAAAGATTATCCTATCCTTTATTCTTTTGAATACTGAACAATATGCTTACAATAAACTTTATAAATATTTTCTTTGCTGTTCAGAAAACTGTAAAAGATTAAGTTAATGTTCTGAAGAAGTATTATCTATTTTGTGATAATTTAAAAATAATTTTATTAAGTTTCCAGATAAAAGAAAATTTTAAAAATATTATTCTATATAGACAGAAATACAGAACTAGAATTTGTGTAAAAAAATTAAATTTAACAAGCCCTATCCACTTACAATTCTTAAGCCCACACAAATATTTAGATCATAAGTTTGCCAGACAATTATTAAAAGTTTATGGCTAGAAACACAAGTTCCTAAGCTTCTCAATAAAGCGGACAAGCCGGAAAGATTTACAATAAACACACGCGTCCGGGCTAAATAGCCGTAGTTTGGCAGCCGCCCTGTTGACTTGGCTAATCTCTTTTTAACCTTCCCCAACTGGCGATCGTAAACGCAGGCGGCAAAAGTACGCCAGTAATAACCGTGGCTCTTTATGGAATGGGGATCCTAAGTATTCGGCAAGGGGAGGTGGAGAAATGAGAAATGGGGGACTTGAGACCGAGACTGGAAACTAAAGATCGCATCTTGCGCTTTCGTTTAATTTCCTTTCGGAGTTCATTAGCGGGACTCACCTGTATGCGGCATGGCTGAAATGTGATCAACAATTCAATTCAATCCAATTCAATCCGAAAGTGATTCGATACGATCCAAGCCGATTCGATCGGTAGTCGTTCGGTTAGTCGCTTAGCCTCCGTAAAGTATTTTGGTTTATTTGCTGTTGGTGGTTGGTGGTTTGTTGTTTGTTTTTAGTTTTTACTCGTTTTTCGTCCCGTTGCCTCGGCTGCTGCTTAGTTAATCGCTGAATTTTAATCAAATTTCAAGCAAGAACGTCATAAAAACGCTTTGATGGATGTCGTCGTGGTCGCCGGGCTATTAGGATGCTCAGTTGAAGACTCGGACCTGAATGCTTGTTGAGTGTTGAGTGTTGGATGCTGGCGACCCACTCCCCGAAGACTTTTTACGGCTTCCACGAATTCGGACGGCGTCCAGGCCCGGCCAGAACCGATCCGATCCAAACCGATCCGATACAAGTGCCGAACTGGACAGTGAAAATCTAGTAAGGAAAATACATAAAACTTAATTATTTTATAAAACTACGCGGCTGGGAGTTTAATGTGCAGTGGTTTATGTGCTCAATGGCCATGTCCACCGGTGGTGACCAGTGCCCAGTGCCCAGTGTATCTCAAATTAGCTGCTTATCAGGCACATTCCCGGCGCAGCGTGAACTGCTGGCCCATTATCGAGAGGTTGCCCCCATCATTTATACCCAAATACGATACAGTATATGGTATATGGTAGTTCGCCTAACTATACAGTATGCAAATGCCAGGGGTAACAATTAAAATGAATTTTGGCCAATTGCTCATTTGGTTAAATATGCCAACCGAAAGCCGAAAGAGATATGCAAATGGGCTTTCAGCACCACCAACTTTGGCCCAGTGGTTTCCGCTTCCTGTTTTCCCTGCAGGATTTGAGCCTGTCGCCAGCCTGTCAGAGGCATGAAAACGCGCTGAAGAACCGTATAAATCAAAAACTGTAACTGCCGCTGCCCGTCGAGGGTCCACACTTTGTCATGGCCATGTTATTATTATGGAATTCACATTAGATTTAATTGCCGAGCCCCGAGTCCTTAGCCCTTGCCACTTTTCAGCTCGTAAAACCACCGAAATGCGCGTGTTTAAGCCACCGAACCGCCGCACGCACCACATACTCCCCCTTGGAAGTTGAAAAAACAGAACGAGAAAACCGAAAAAGAACTCGAAATTAAGTTGTTCATTAGGTTTTTTTTGGACTCTCCTCAGTCTGAGGTTTTTTTCGGGTAAGGTAACCTTACCGCTCACCGCGAACGGGAAACTCGTGCTGGCCGTTAAGGCCATAAAGTTCGCAGTTGGTCTGGCCGGGGGCCAAAGATTTGGCCGACAACGCGATAAGGATTCCATTCCATCGGTCTTGTATTTTGCATTTAGTATTTTGTAGAAAGTGAAATAGACATTCCGGCAAAATCCAATTTCGGCCACAATGAAAGGGTTAATTTCCCCGCTGGCGTGCTGTTCGACCATTTTGCTGGAATGTTTTTGGCCCACTTGGGAGCAGTAGTGAGCAGTCACAACTAAATAGTTCCGGGCAGGTGCTAGTACCTAGAAATTTCCTGGTTTTTCTTCCTTTCCCTTAGGTTTCCCAGTTATTTTTTTTTACGAATTATTTTCTGCTTGATAATTTAGCAAAAGCTATGAAAAACCCATTTAACATAATCCTATAAGGTTACTAAATAAATAAATAGCAATAAATATTATAGCAATTTATTCAGTTTAACCTGGGGTTAAAAGCTTACTATCTTACAAATAAAGAAAAGAGTTTAAAGTATAATAAGATCAAATATTATAACCATTAATTCAGTTTAAGCTGGGGCTAAAATCCAACTATCTTACAGAAAAAATAAAAAAATTAAAAATATACCAAGAACAAATATGAGTTTATAACCATTTAATAATTTTAAACTGGGGTGAAAAACTAGCTAGGAAAAATGTCACCCAGTAGTGATCCAAAGTGTATGGTACTTAACGAAAGTATAAAAAAATCCCCTTTTATTTTTACCGACCTTATAAAATGTAAATGCGTAGCAAAGGTTTTTTCCAGCGCTTCAATACTGCTCAAGTTTAATTTTAAATGTGATCTTCAGGCTTAATGGCGGGTTATATATAGATATATTGCTAATCTCGGCCTTTCAGGTTTTCTGGCGGAATAATATACACATATATCCCTCATATCAAGTGCTACCGATTTCTCCACTCGTAAGTCTCAATTAGCTTTCGAGCACATGTCAAGCGGAACAGACATAAAAACCGATAGAAATTAGTTAAACATACAATAATTTAAATTCGTGCGATTACCGAAAGTGGAACCGACAGGTTGGCCGAGCTTCTGTTTCGGATTTGGATGCGGACCGAGAAACCCTGTCCTCTCCCTTTTTTTCTTGATTTTTTTGGTGCCCCCCGCAGATGGAAGCGATCGATCGATCCGAAGCCAGATCGAACCGGGGCATTAACAGCCGCTAATTAAAATAAAAAAATTATAATAAAACGTACGCTTCACCATTTGAATATGATTAGCTCGCTCGCTCTCAGTCTTTCTGGACCACGCTTAAGTAAGTTGTCCGGCGGCTCGTTGGCTTAGAAAGCTCCCAAATCAATGAGCCATAATGGTATAATGGGTAGCCAGAAAAGACGGCATGACAAAGAATTAATTAGCATACGATTTTTGACTTTTGTCGCTCGCCGGACTCGTGGGAAAACTAAACTGTGGCCGAAAAGAAGCAGTCATCGATCTGCCAAACGACCGATTGGGCCTCTTTAAATGAGTTATCTCGGTCCGGCGGAAGTTCAATTGGCCAGTAGTTTTGCAATGCAAATTCGGTCGGTCGGCCATCCGGTGGCATCTTCATCTACCACTTCATTCACAATATGAATATTGGAAAACAATATTGAATGGAGAACGGCTCGGCTCAATCCGTTAGATCAGATCGTCGTTCATTAAGAAATAAGCCGATCGGCAGAGGAGCAAAGGCGATGAAGGGAACTTGAGACCGATGTGTCGAACACGATAAGCAAATATCGTTATTAAAGCCTTTCAAAAAACGCCGCAACCTGCTCGCCAGCGACTCGATTTAATGATTTAGTTGTTGAGAAAGCAAATTATGCGCAAACAAATTGATTACGATCGTTTATGGTGGCCATTATGGGCAGGTCGATCGATGCGGCCGGGTCTTAATTAAGTCGCCGATAAGTCATCGTCGTTAGCTTTTGTCAAGTGTTGGAATAATACCGAAGTTTCGGCGGATAATGCTGGTTAAAATATGTCTGCTTTCTGTCCTTTTAAACAAGTTCAAGTGCAGCGATTGCATTAGAGCTTATCTGGTCTTGAATAGGGAAATTGATAACACATCTGCCGGAAAATCGACACTCTATACGCTAAAAGCTTTTTCAGTAAACTTATTAGTTACTTTAAATAGGGACCAATTCAACGTAAAAAATTATTAGAAGTAGAACAAAAGAAATTAATTAAATTTAAAGGTCTAATATGTCGATGTTAAGTTTAAAAACATACTTAAGATGATTCGTTTTAAAAACGATTCTTATTGGAATTAGAAACTTAATTATTATAATCTCTAATTGATTTAAATTAGTAGTAGGTACTAGTATTCTTTATTAAATGAGTTTGAAGTCATTTGTGTCATAGTCCCTATTCTTAACCAGAGAGCCTATGGTGAATGATTCCCAATTGTGTACCCAATTTAAGTTATTGGACTAATTAAAACACCTCTGCACTAAATAAACTTCCAAGGTGTTTAATTTTCTGTTTCAAAGGTAAGCTCACCTCAATCTCGGGGCACTAAATTCGCCGGTTATCCACAAACTTGTATTCAACTGGTTCCGAATCCTTAAAAGCACTTGAGCACTACACTTTCCGCTCGAGTTTTCCATGCACAGTGGGCTTAGGCTTATCCCGCGGATATTGGCCGATTACTCAGTTCAGAGGCGCGACGGCTGATGTATCTTATTTGCTTGGTAGTTTTTATTTTCGGTTGAGAGTTACCGACGCGACGCACCTTGTCACTCGACCGTCAAAAATTCGACTAACTGCACGCGAATCGCGGGGCCGGCGCATCGATCCGATCAATTTGGTGGCGGTGGCAGTGGCAGAAGATGTGGCAGTATAAGTTACCTCAACTGTGGAAATTGAGAGTTGGCTTCGTGCCTCGCCCGCGGTCCATCAGCCGACGATTTCTACTGAGGCGCCGCCAAGCAGAGCGGGCCAAAACGCCACCGAAAAGCCGTCGCTCACCCATACACTCGCTGACTTTAGCCACACACATGGACAGAAACCTTCACGGACTCACAGACGAAACGTTTTTCTGGTGTAACCGGTTTTTCACGGCTGCGACGTCTGCGGCAGTTCCAGCCCCATTTGGCCCACCGCCAGCCAATGAGGGCCAATCAGCTGCTTTTCTGCGTGCGCATGCGTCGCCCGCTGCGCCGACGGAGCGCTGCCATTGGCCAAAAGCCGCCGGGGGGAAGGGGGCCAGGTGACACGTCCTCCGGGAGCGAAAGCGACACGGGCACAGTGGGCCAAGTGTGAAGAGGCCAGTGGGTTAGGTCTACAGGTTCACGGGATTTCAAAAGCACATTGAGGGTAATGGTAAGTTCAAAAAGATTTTAAACGTAAATCTTATTTTAAAGATACATGATTTACCCTTATATCATTGATCTTAACTCTTGTAACTTATCCATGGGAAGCCAAACACGTTTCTTTGACGTATTGGAAATTTAAAACCAGCGACCAGTTAACATAGCAAAGTCTCATAGCAAAGACACTTAAGCTAACTAAACCATAAGCTCTATTTTTTGCTGTAAGTAAAGAGTATTTATATAATTATATGCATTATTATTATTAAAGGAGGTCTTGCGGAAAGATTGAGATGCTAATATAGTCAAACTACTCTACAATGTTCTCAGCTAAACGAACTTATTGTTTGCTTCAAAGCTTATACGTTACCTTTTTCATAGATTCGATTACAATTTTGAATAAAAGAGTTTTTTTTAAGTCCGCAATTCATTTGAAACTATTTTATGGTTTAAACAATATGTGTAACCTTTAAAAATTTGAATTAGTTTATATGTTAAGCTTGGCTTCTTGGTTTATTTTATTAACATACATTTTATTGTTTAAATGGTTTCCTCCTCCTGCAGCTTTCATCCCACTGTGCGGATGCACGACGTCCGTGCAGCCCGCCTCCGCTCTTGGCAGGCTTTAGGGGTAGTATAGGTCGATGTGGATGGTAGATGGTCGATGGTCGGTGAGTTCCGGGCAGAGAGCGTTGCGGCAGAGCGTAGCCTTAGCCGTGGCCGTTTCCGCAGCCGTTGCGTTGCCGTTGCAGCCGCGTTCCGGCCAATCGGCGGAGGCAACGCAGCACGCAAACGCTCTTCGCTCTGCCTCTTTACCTCGGTTCCCCTCCCCCATCCTTGATTCCTGATAGATACA